AGCATTTGCATGTCATGAGCATTTGGCAGGGCTGTACGGTTATATCTTCTGATAAGCCTCTCTTTATAATGTCGCTTATGGCTTCTGCCCTAGTCGTCTGTACCACAGGTGGATACATTTGTTGTGTAGATTATGAGTGGCTGTTTTGATTTGTTCATCTAAAGAGATGGATCTGTACAGGTGTTCATCTAGTTTTTCTTTTGCAAGGATTTGCTTATTGTTTTGGATTGTACATTTATCTCCTCAGAATTGAATGTGAGATCATTATTAGCAAGGGTTTTCACTGATAGAAGGCTTCCTTCTAGGTCTAGGACATGCAGTACATTTTTCATAATGATACTCTGCTTGTCCCCTGATGGTGTGATGCAGTTCAAGAATCCTTGACTGTTACCTTCTGCAGTAATACTTTTCCCGTTTGCTAGGAAAACTTTGTCCTTTGCACTGAAATCAAGGTCTATGAAGAAGGTCTCATCACTAGTCATGTGACTCGTTGCAGTTGAGTCAATACACCATCCACATGGTATACTGTTCTGAGTTACTTTAAAGGTAGCCCTCCACGATGTTCCTGCAGTTTCGTTTGCAGCTGTCTTAGCTGTTTTTCTGCTAGGTGCCTCTTGCTTTCGCTGCTCGGTTTTCCTGATTGAACAGTCCTTTTTCAGGTGACCAGTCTTTTTACAGCGAAAACACTCTCTGCTTTCTTTATTTTGCTTTGCACTTTCATGCACCTTAAGGGCTTTCTCATTTAATTAATTGAGTAGATGTTCTTTCCTTCTGTCATATTCATCGATTGATTTTCCTTTGGTGTATTCTAGTGTTAGTTCCTGCTCGGATCTGGTTTCTAGAACGTTAATAAGAGCACTGTATGATTCTGGAAGGCTGCATAGAAGTAATCCCACCACATAGCTATCTTTAAATTCCTCTCCATTTGCAAATAGCTGTTCTACGATTTCCAGCATGGCATTCACATGTTCTCGCATTTCCTGGCCTTTTTCTAGCCTCATCTTATATAGCTTGCGTAGCAGATGTTGCTTACTGTTCAGGTATGAACGCTCATGCTGTTTTTGTAATGCAGTTCACATACCTTTAGCTGTATTCTCTTTTCTTATGTGTATGATCTGGTTGTCTTCCACTAGCAAACTTCTAATTGTATTTGCTTGCCTGTTGTTCTTGTCTCATTCCTCTGCGGGTCCATTAGTGTGTCTGTCTGTATTCAGTACTTGCCACAAGTCATCTTTGCTAAGCAACATTTCAAGCTTGAACTTCCATAGCTGCGTAGCTGATAGTTGGTATTGTTGAGCTTTGTCATTGCAAACTTCATATCTGAACTACTTGCCATCTTTCAGTAGCTTGTCTGGGCCCATAACCTGTTTTTTTAATGCATTTAGATGAAGTACTGAGATCTTGAGGAATGCTGAATTAAGTTTTACTTGCTTAGGGGAACATTACATCAGAATACAGTATTGTGCAGGAAACATATAGATCAGGAAACATCCTGTGCATCATAGATAAGTATGCATATAGAAAACGAACATTGTACTACTATGCCATCTACAGCTCAAAATACAATCAGTCAGAAATACAATCAGCCACATAAGAATATGCCAACACCAACATATTCCAACACATTTGTGGTCAGTAGGTAGACATATATTCATCTACACTGAGGTGTTGTTTGTATTTTACTGTAGGAATATAGCAAATTAATATAGTGCTTTTAAAGCAATGACCTGATTATATATTTTTAAAAAAGTGCCTGTACATATATTCCTTAATGTAATTTGTTTTTTTTTAAATTGGACATACTCCTAAGAATTATGTAGTACACATTAAAATGGCAATTTCAACTTTCAAGTGCACTGAAAAGTAACAACATGGTTCTTGAAACTGTCACTTGGACCATTGTCTGTCATAACCATTATCCTTTTTCACAGGAAATAAACACTATGGATTTCTCAATCTTTGGCATTTTAATTCTTTCAATCCCCATGAATTTCAAAAACTCCACAGGATATTTCTTTTCTGAACAATGAGACAGTAATACAGTGAAATCTCTTCATTATTGGAGATTTATTTTTACAATATGTGACTTAATCTCTTATGTTTTTAATCTGTCTGCATGATTCAGAATGTCATGGTCATAGAGAGAAGCATATGTGTCTTGTGTCATCAGTTTGACAAATGAACACAGTTATTTTGTAGAAATGTGTTGCATACAAATTAGACCTTTTCTCTCCCGTTCATTGAAGGACACAGGGCAACAGATAGTAGATCCTGAATGGTAGGGTATATCACCACTTGCAGGAGTAGGACGCTAGGCACATAACAAAAGACAAGAGAGCCTAGGGGCGGCCCCTGCCGGTGGCCCAACCCCTCACTTGCTGACAAGTCTCCGGTTTTTTGCCTAGCGTCAGGAGTAAGGAGCTAAAACATTTTCTCTAGGAAATGTCATTTAACCCATTCATGTTAGCAGGGGATACTTGTAAATCTATTGCTGCAGTGAATTGGGAATCTGTACATGTACTATGCACTATATATAGAATGCACTTCAGCAATAGATTTACAATTCTGCACTGCTAACATGAATGGGTTAAATGATCCATAGTACAACTACATGTTATGTATTATTATGTACTACACATAATTTAATCTATTCATGTTAGCATTGGATAATTGTAAATTTATTGTTGCAGTGCATTCTATATGTAGTACATAGTACATATAGAGTGCACTGCAACAATAGATTTACAGTTATCCTCTGCTAACCTGAATGGGTTAAATGATCCATAGTACAGGGCTACATATGGATCATTTAATCCATTCATGTTAGCAGAGGAGAATTGTAAATCGATGGTCTCCAGTCTATTAGCAGTCTGTAATCTATATGTACGACATATAGAGTACAGACTGCTAATAGACTGGAGACCATCGATTTACATATATTTACATATATCCCCTGCCTAATAGTTCCTCCCCTTGCCCTCACTCACTGCGGGAGAGCAGCGACGAGTCCGCACTGGTCCAGTGGGAGAAGCTCCAAGTGGGGTTCTAATTTAGCTGACCCAGAGGTGCCGGCCTGCTAAATTAAGATCTCACCTGGAGCTCCTCCCACCGGACCAGCAGTGACTCGCCGCTAAGCTGAAGAGGAGCGTCAAAATGCCCTGTATCGGTCCTGATACCGATGCTAGTACCGGTATCGGGACATCCGTACTTTATACAGATAACTCTTGTATGTGAAATGTATTGTCTTTTGGTGACAGATTTCCAAACAGCTGAACTCCACCCAAAAGATTATTCTGTCTCTTAAAAACCTCAAAGGGTTTGTGTCACAATTGCATTGTTAAAGGCTATTTTAACTTTTGTTTTGACTTGCCACAATTTTAACAGTTTGTGTCAGGTTTATGTTCCAGTAGAGACATCCAGCAGATGGCAAGTGATATCCATGCTCCTTTTTTAGTTACTGTAGGGTTAGGGAGAGAGATGTGCCAGCTTGGGGCTTAGTGACAGTTACTAACAAAATAGAGGAAAAACCACTGCCCAGCTCCTTTCAAATTATAATAAAGAAGCAACACTCACCTTATTTATAAACATTAAATATGGCTGTTGATCTAGGAAGCATCCAATTGCCTTAGGGCAGCGATGGCGAACCTACGGCACATGTGCCACAGAGGGTACATAGAGGCCACTCTGGTGGCATGAGCCTAGGCAGGGGTGTTAAAATTGTATTGCCGGATGCCCAGGGCTTGCAGTTCTGGATGCTGTGCTGGTAGTGTTGTGTGTGT